GCTCCTCCATCTGTCTTTACAAAGATGGCTAAAGTTACTGTATTTGCTGAAGTAAAACTCAGGATGTTTACAACTTCCACCTCATCCTACTGTCCAGGATAAAAGTTGGCTACTCAAAAGCTCGGGGAGAGGTGAGTTTTGTGTGAGTCCAGCAAGACCGTCTTACTTGCAGCTGGAGTCTTCTGCGCTTCATCAAAGCTATGCAGAGGAGCTGCTCTGGGTGCGATGGGTGGATTCTGAAAGGTAATCCTTGCTGTTGGGGGAATCAGTCCTCGTTCTATCATACTTAAAATCCCTGGAAAGGAAGAGTAACAGAATCTGAGTGTAACTCAAGCAATAATACCAAGTCTGAGCTCTATAAATTTGACAAGTCTAACATAATCCATCCATCATCTTATTTGTAAGGGTGCATCGAGTGCCTTAATTTTTTGCATGAAAAGCCAGCTACAGTACGTGTTCATTTAAGCTTAATATTCTAACCCAGGGAAAAATGTCATTTCCAATAGCAGTAATATGAAATAAAATTGCACGAAGGTAATTTCATTTTAAGGTAGAAATATAATTTCAAGGCAAACTAAAACTTCTTTGTTTTTATGACATTTTCAATCATTGGTAATAGTGTTACTCTTTTTAAAATTCAGAGAAATCAGGCACACATTCTTAATGACTAAAGTGATCCTTTGTTCTGGAAGAAAGAAAATTTGTGTGCTTCAAACCATGCCTTGTTATCATCAGTCATAGTTTATAAAAGGAGTTATCATTAGACATCTATCATATCACCTGAAGATATGAATACCCAATAGGTTCTTATAGTGTAACTGAACAACACAATTAGAATTAATACAACTATTTTACAATTTGTAGAACTCATGCTGTATCACCAAGGCTGAAGTGAAGCCCTTAAATGGACAAGAGACTTTACTAAATAAACAAATAAATCAATCAATGAATAATTGAACAAAGTCGGCTGTGGGAGGCACAACTTTCGTTAAGGCGACCTAGTGTATTAAAGTCAGAAATCCAGAAACTTGAGAACTATTTGAAAATGAACTTGTGGTAGGACTTCAATCTCTGGTTACTCTCTTATATAATAGAAAAGAAAGGAGGTCAGATCTCAACAAATTCTTGGAGTACAAACTTTGTACCAAGCTTTACTACGTGAAGAAGTTAGCACACACTCTAAGGGGAGCTGATAATTATTCCATTTGTTTTAAAACCTCTTTTATATTGCTTTTAAACTAGTTATTACAGTGTTGTGGGATTTTAGAAGGATTGTTATGGAAGGTTAGCGAGCGGAAGAGGACTTCTATTGTGAAACAAGGATTTTAAAGAGAAATCTTTAGTGGAATCATTTGGAAGATTTTCTTTCTTTCTTTCTTTCTTTCTTTCTTTCTTTCTTTCTTTTTTTTTTAATGTATTTAGTACAGGGTCTCACTACCCAGATCAGACTCGTAGTGATCGTCCTGTTTTCAGCCTCCCAAGTGCTGCGATTAAAGGCATGTGCCACCATGCCCAGTCTCCATCGTCGTGTTAGCATGCCCCAGCGGTGGGGACAGCATGGCATGCTGGGGACCGAAGTCCAGTTGCTATTCTCTGCCTAAGCAGATGCTTCAGTCTGCTGAGCTGTCTGGCTCAATGTATTTTCAACACTCATCTCATTCTCTAGGAAGTCTAAAGAACACGAGCATGACTTCAACCCTTGCTTTTGTGCTGACTGCAACTCAATTTGAGTGAAAGCATTCACCACTAGAAGGGAAAAGCTGACACTTAGACATAAGCAAGGGAGGGCTATGGAGATAGCTCAGCCTGTACAAACACATAAAATTAAAAAACAGAGAAAGGAAGAAGGGAGATTTTTTTTTCTGAATCCAAACATTGGAAACTTTGAAACTTATGTGACTCTATAGGGCTCTGCACCTGTTTTTATTATTTTACAATTTGTGAACATTAAGACTTACATGTAGAACTATGATAGCAAAGTAGATAATTCTCATCTCTATACATACAAATAAATTCTATCACATGGAGAATAATTCTTCCCATGAAATCCTCATTTTTCATCTTTCTGCAAATTGATTTCACTATCCTTGATGGGTAAATGTGCCTTGCTTGGGTTCTTCTTAGACTTGATTACAACATTTTACTAGTTCTTCATTTAATTAATGAGCTAAAGACAGTCCTTGATATGTTCATTTTATATTTGTGTAAGAGTCATGACTTTATGATTTTTGAAAATGTCATCCTCTGGCGGTTTGGGAGAACCTTGGGGCATGAGCAGGAGTCCCTGAGATCAGGAACCGTGAGCACCACAAAGTCAAGCCCAGTGATGTTCCGCCTTGACTCCAACAAAGACGTTTAAAGTTGCAACAGAACTTTGTTGGTCTTGTTTCTGCTTGGTTAACTTAAATTCTACCATCTATTAATTTGTTTTTCTTTTCAATTCACTTATGAACGACAAGTTATTTTCTGATGGTAGCTGCAAGGATTGGGAATTTGTAATCTTTGTAAATGGATCAAGGTCTTATAGAGATCTATTTCCTGCTAGGTCAAAGATAATACAGAATATAGTTTGTTAGTCTTTGTCTACTTCAAGCTGAAATCATTAGGCATTTCAGGCCCACAGGAAGGAGGGCCACGCTGATATCTATACTCGCAAGTTTTGGTTTCTGCATTTATTTTTCTAGACTGTATCTACGTACCAGGAATTTGGAAAGCCCGTTATGTTGAGAATGTGGAACGTTTTCCTGTTTCAAATGGCATTAATAAGTCAGATAATAAGAGCTTGCAAAGAAAAATAAGTTATTTTATGTACTGGATTTTCCTTAAGTTCTCATATAATAAAAATATTGAGCCTCTCATGCTTTATGTGTGTGTCCACACATCCCAAACTTGGAAACTCTCACTGAGGCTCCTTACATTTTAGGGCAACATAGCAATTTGCATAATTTCAACAACAGCCTCTTCTTTTACTAAGATACAGCTAAAACAGGTACTTATACAACCAAGGCCTTGCCTGGAATTTCATGTTTCATCTTGAAAGATGATGCATATTTGTTCAATTATAATGAGTTGCTTTGCCAGGACTAAGACTGACTTTAAAAAACCAGCGTGTGCAAAATTTTCCCAGAAGAACTATCCCAGGTTGTTATCCTTGTAGCTGGTAGTAGGGAAGGTTATATCTTGCAGGCCTAAGAACCTCAGGACATTTGGAGGAAAATAAATAATAAAGGAAAATACCCCAGTTTATAGATCCTGCAGCTTAATTCTGCAGAACAAAGGTTTGGGGACTTGATTTTTGTTTTTTGGCCTTAGGATTTCAGGTAATAAATGATTTTAAAAGTTTAGTTTAGATTTCTTATGAAAACTTACAGGATAATAAACTTAAGGCAGCCTGTATGGTAAATTACCATTTTTGCTGCACCACCATAAAGAACCAGGGCAAGCCTAATGATCCCAGCCTTATTTTGTGAATACTTTTGTTTGAGGTCACTTTGAGCAAAAGAGATAGCAAGCAAATTTTAAAAAACAGTTTGAAACAATCAAAAGCAATTCCTGAATACCTTTTCAGTGGAATGCTGAGTGTTTAGGGTTTGACTAGGATATCTCTTTTGAACCAATTGCAACATCTTAAAGATTTTCTCCTTGAACTGATGAATTAAAATCTTTACTATATATTCCTTTTACACTTATATGAAAGTTATAGGGCCAGCCAAATGGCTCAGCAGATTAAAGCACCTGTAAGCAGGTGTAAGGCCCAGGGGTTCAATCCCCAGGCCTGCCGTGCTGGCCCCATCACTGGGGCATGCTGAGATGGCAATTGAGACTGGGTGTGGTGGCCTGAGCCTGTAATCCCTGCTCTTGGGAGGCTAAACACAAGTGGATCACTACAAGTCTGATCTAGTAGTGAAACCCTGAACACCCTGTAGACCCTTCCCTAAAATACAGGAAAAAAGTCATGATAATTACATGCTTTTAAAAAATTATCTGTACACATCAGTGTTTTATGAAGTCCTCAGAGCATCCTTGCCTTCCCGCTACGTAGATGAGGAATTGGAAGCTCATTCATCCTGTCATTCATTCAGCCAGGTGTCTATTATGTGCCAGGCACTACTCTGGGGGCTGGAGACAAAGTGGTAAAGCAGAGAGACTGCACGACTTCTAACAGTGGAGAAGACATTAAGTAAATTCATAAACAAACGCATCATTCTACAACATGTCAGTCTACAAAGACCTCATAAGGGGCAGAGAGAAGGCTCCAGCAGGGGAAGCACAGACGGGGGCAAGAGGAGGGCTGGGTCAGGCACACCTCGCTCAGAGCTGACTTAAAGGCCACACTGAGACCTCTTGCCTCGGACCACACATAGCCTGAATTGAAAATTTAGTCTGTACTGTGAAACTTGTGTTTCTAATCATTGGGCAAGACAGGGGCATTTAGCCAGATAATTCAAGAAAAAGCAATGCAGTGTAGTGTGCATTTTCCCAAATGATTGTCTCTTGTGGATGTAGTTAATTGTTCTTTTCATGCTGGACTCGTGTAGAACTGGGGTAAGGGCTAAGCGACACTGACGGGTATCTAGAACACCTGAAAACCCGGGCGCTGTGTCTACGTTTGTGTAGCTTGTACTTTCCTGCGACTCACGTTACCTTGTGGCAAGTTGGCCATCAATATATTGATTAATTGCTTGATTAATTACAAATATTGTACTGGACCATGTGTTCTTTGGTAAATAATTTAGGGATAAAAATGTTATTTTTCTGGACCAAGTTTCCATGATTCTAGATCAACTTTTGTTTCATAGCAGTTTTTAACCAGGGAGATGGCTTAGTGGAATAAGCGCTTCACTGGCAAGCGCAGGGGCCTGAGTTCAATCCCCGGTTCTGCCAAAAAAAAAAAAAAAGAATAGCAAACTCATAGCAGTTTTTATTTGCTAAAGCAAGGAATGATTAATTTATTGACTCTTTCACTGACCCTAATTTGACTGGGGAAGAATATGAGATGATACTGAGGCAAGAAATAGAAACTCTGCTGGTGTTGCTCACCATTCCCACGGAGTAAATATTGCATAAGCTAACCAAAGACTTCTGAGGAATGGCTCATCACTGGGAAAGAAGTGGAGTTCTGGGAAGCTTAACAAACACAGACTCCAGAGATTTCCACGGCCAGCAGAGGGAGGTCCGCTGACAGCAGATGCAATAGCCAGAAGAAAGAGAACTTCAGCTCTCTGGACCAGAGGCCCTTGGGAACACCCCTGGGTCATCTAGATACTTCAGACAGCAGGTAGAGAGGGAGACAGGAACGCTGAAGACCATCTTACTCCGCTATAGGTAAGCCAGGAAAGAGGGTCCGCATAGGCATCATTTGACATTTAGCCACTTAGACAGTAGGGGAAGTACAGAGGGTTACACTGTGCTGTTCATTCTCTACGCACTCACTCACGTACGCTTTCCTCTGCTCATTCATTCAACAATCATTGAGTGTCGACACAATGCTGGGTATAGTCCTAGACACTAGGAATAGGAGGCGAAGATAGTCTTTTTTGTTTAACTAGAACATATACAAAAGGAATTTAAGTGCTAGTCACATTCATTCTGGCTTCATGTTTCTATGTAAGTAGGATACTGCAAAAGATTTCTAAAGTGCTACCCAGATAGCATCAGAAACTTGATAATTTCTTCTTCTTCTTCTTCTTCTTCTTCTTCTTCTTCTTCTTCTTCTTCTTCTTCTTTTGTATTTTAGGGAAGGGTCTACAGGGTCTACAAGGTCTCACTACTAGATCAGACTCATAGTGATCTGCCTGTTTACAGCCTCCCAAGAGTTGGGATTATAGGCGTGCACCATGATGCCCAATTTCAATTGCCATCTCAGCGTGCCCCCAGGGGTGGGGCTGGCACAGCAGGCCTGGGGATTGAACCCCTGGTCCCTGTGCCTGCTTGCAGGCACTTTAATCCCCTGAGTATTTGGCTGGCTCCTATAATTTCTAATAATACTACATAAACATAATAATTTTCTATGTTGCAACACTAAAGTGCAGATCTGACTTGTCTAGGGCCACCTTAGGGATTATGTCTGAACAGAGTTCCAACACAGGCCCCCGATGACTTTTTTCCTTCTATCCCTGAGTGTGTAAAACACCACTGAGCCACTCACCTTTACTGGCGTCCTTCTGTAAGACTGGCACGGGGACGAAGTGGGGGTCTGTGCGGTAGGAAGACGGCAGGACGGTGAGGTTGGAGATGGTGGACCCTTTTATTAACTTCTGAACATTTACCTAGATGATAACGAAAATGGTTTTCAGCAGACATTTCTGCCTTTACCATGAACACAGTTTTCTTCTTGTAAACAATAAATAAGATTATGAATAGTTTCATTAAGTTTTAATAAAGTAACAATATCGGCTCCAGTTTTATTGCTCCTGAGTACCCTGTGCCATTGTCTTCTGTCAGGAGTTTGTGTAATTTAAAATAGTTAATTAAATCAATTAACATGTGGTGATTTCCACTATGCAAAGTCAGACTAGTAGTTAATAAAGGAACTATTAAGATTTTGTTCAATTTTAATGACTTCAATATAAAAGCTCTAAATCTCAACATAGGAGGTTTTGAATACCGCAAAGTTTTGCGCAGGCAAATTTCCCAGGAAATAAACACTAGAGTTTTGAGGTTACACAAATCAAATGGGAGAATCTGAACGTATCAGTCAGTATTAACAGGTTAAATACAAATGCTGAGGAGGCTCTTATACAGATCAGAAATAAAGACACTGTGTCTAAATCAGTCACAGTAGATAATTACTTTTCCTAAAGTCGTAAAAGGCTTTTATTACAGTTATGAAATATGAATTGTTTCTATTAAATGGCTTCTAAATTTTAAAGATTATATGTATTTCATATAAATCACATGTAATTGTATAGCCCAAGTATACTATTTTTACCTTTATTATAGGAGTTTATGAATCACCTGGGCTGCTCAGCAGGGAAAAATGCAACTTTCTGGTATTTATAGACTGATTTAAATTTTCAAGTCATTTTCCAAGCATTAATTAATTTGCATAACTTCCAAGGGAACTAGGTAAGGGTTCGCTGCTTAACAAAGGACTCAAGACAGAAAGGTCAGTAAATTTGCTTTGGATCACAAAGCAAGTTAGAGTATACGAGATGTACACAGATTTTTTCAGTTTTTAAATTAACTTGATTTTACACAGATGAAATTTGTTATCAGACTCAGTTATACCACATTTACTAAGGGCCAGGGCCTTAGGGAAAAGGAAAAGGGAACTCTCCTTTGGTCTGAAGGGGAGAAAGTCGTCTTACTAATCAAGTATTTGTTGGCTGAGAAAGACCTGCATGAACAAAACGCTAGGGACCCCTGCCAAGGCGTGGGGCGCAGGGGAAGCAGCAGAGCAGCCACTATCCATACGGGGATTTGAACTCAGGGTCTGGTGTAAGCCAGGGAAGTGCTGCGCTACTGAGCTATGCCCCTCGTCTACTGGAAATAGCATTTTTAAAGGAAAGTCACAGCTTCTTCTTCCGGTTCCAGGCACTTGGCAGCCGCAGTTTACAGTGTAGTTAAGGCCAAGTCCAAGAACCACACCACGCACAGCCAGCCCCTAAAATGGCACAGAAATGGCATCAAGAAACCTCGGTCACAAAGATATGAACCTCTGGAGGAGGTAGATCCCAAGTTCCTTAGGAACATGCATTTTGCCAAGAAGCACAACAAGCAGGGCTTCAGGAAGATGCAAGCAAACAATGCCAAGGCTATGAGTGCACACGCTGGGGCTATCAAGGCCCTTGTCAAGCCCAGAGAGGTCGAGCCCAAGATCATTCCAAAGGGAGTAAACCACAGGCTCGCTTGACTTGCCTATATTGCCCACCCCAAGCTTGGGAAGCGTATCTGTGCCCGCATTGCCAAGGGTCACAGGCCTTGCCAGCCAAAGGCCAGGCTCCAGCCTAGGCCCAGGCTCCAGCTTCCACTCCAGCCAAAGGCCAGGCTCCAGCCAAGGCCCAGGCTCCAGCTTCCACTCCAGCCAAAGGCCAGGCTCCAGCCAAGGTCCAGGCTCCAGCTTCCACTCCAGCCCAGGCTCCCAAAGGTGCCCCAGCCCCCAAAGGTGCCCAGGCCCCTGTGAAGGCTCCACAGTAAAAGCCTCTTATCTGCTGATGTAAAAACAGAAGGACTGGGGTGACCCCTGGGGTGCCATCTATAGGCAGCTGGTGTCCTCCTGTGCTCTTTGTACAAATAAACCTGAGGCAGGATATGTTAAAAAAAAAATGAATAAATAAATAAATAAAGGAAAGTGACAGAAAGTATGGTCTTCTGGGTGCAGAAAGTGTAGAAAGACAATCCTTCCGGGAGAGTGAGAAGGGGAAGGGGTAGAGGAGGCCGAGGTGGGAAGGCAGGCAGTGCAGCCATTCTGCGATCCAGCCTCGCTGGTGCACGTTGGGGGCATTTCATCACCCCCAGTTCTGCTCTCCCCGCCTGTCTTCCAGATGCGAGTAGCTTCCAAGAGGTCCCCCTGGTCGGGGAGGCAGAGGTAATCGCCCACGCTGCACTACAGAGATGGCTGCAGGTACAGCATCAAGACAGGCACGGCCTCCTCTCCCTGATGGGTACCAGGGCATCAGTGAGGCAAAGGCAAATTGAAGGGAGAAAGATTCCACTTAAATAAAATTGCCACGCTCTCTGAAGATGTAAAATACAGGCTTGGCAGTTTGGGGGGCATGGAGCATAATTTATCCGGATTTTCTGAAAGCCTTTGATAAAGAACACCTGGCAACTGGCTCTTGAACTCTAAGGCAGCAGGATCCAGCCTAGAGCATCGTGTAAAGAATGACACGGAGGAGAGGAGGGAAAGCAGGCGACGTTCAGATTGTCAGGCACTCAGCGCGATCATAACGAGGCTTTAATTTTTTAAATTGCTTCAGTCAAAACAACGGGAAAGCCAGCCGCAAGGATCATGGTGAAAAGGCAGTGAGTGAGGGGTGTGTAGCGGGCACAGGGGGGGTTACGGTTGACAGAAACGCCATAAACCCCTCTGACAGTGCCGCTGACTATGAAGCACGACCCGCCCTGCTGTCCCTTTCCCGCGCACACACCTGCTTGGAGGGAGAAGCAATGGCACAACCTTCAGTATTTACTGAGCACTTACTATGTAACACTAACTTTAATACAATGAGCATTAAATTTCATGAGCAGTGAAAAAGCTAAGGGCTATGGTTGTGCAGAAGAGAGCGTAATTAACTCCGCCTGCTGGTGCTGCAGAAGGCTTTGCCGCGACTCTCCACCCTGTGTGAGCATCACTCAGGGAGTTTTTAGAAACTACTGCTGCCTGGGTCCTAACCCCGCACCATTAAATCAGAATAGCTGAGCAGAGGCCGGGGCCTCAGTATTTTTTAAAAGCCCTCAAGTGATCCTGATGTGCGGCGGACTTGGGGATGCACTGCAGCAGACAATGTTGAAATTATGTCTTAAAGGAAGCGTTGAGTTACATTAGCTATAGACGGGGACGCAGTTACTGGTAGAAAGAACGACGGCGACAAAGTAAAACAGTACTCTCACCTGGGAAGATTTTGCCAGCGGTAAGGACTGACATGGGGGGTGCGGGGGACACGCGTGTATAGGTCAAAAGAGGCCGTGGGGGACTCGAAAGGCAGGTTGACAGGAAGGCAAGTTAAAGGAGCCAGCTTTGCAAACCTGCTGGCTCACTGCCTGACCATTTCAAACGTCGTCTGCTTCTGGCCTCTCTCTCCAGCCACGCTGTATATATATCGTATTTTATGCGAGAACTATATGGCTTGTGTGTGACAAAAAGTATCACGCAATAATATAATATGAACTATCAAGAATTGTAAATAGAAAGCCGGCCAAATAGCTCAGTGGATTTGGGGCCGCGGAGACGGCTCAGTAGAATAAGTGCTTCCCTGGCAAACACAAGGGCCTGAGTTCAGCCCCCGGTTCTGCAAAAAAAAAAAAAAAAAAAAAAAAAGCGACTGCAAGCGGGCACAGGGGCTGGAGGTTCGATCCCCAGGCCTGCTGTGCCAGCCCCGCCGCGGCGGGCCTATAATCCCAGCTCTTGGGAGGCTGTAAACAGGAGAATCACTCTGAACACCCCCCCCCAAAAAAGAAATTGTAAATAGAGCCGGGGATGTAGCTCAGCAGTCATAAGGGCCAGCCTGGCAAGATCCCTAGTACTGCAAAAAAATAAATAAATAAAAGAATTGGAAGTAGAATCATGATCTTTCTATCTGCTTCTTCATTACTATTTGAAAAACTATAACTTAGAACTTTATCACTGAAAACAGCAATCACAGGCCCATCCGCCAGAATTAACCATCATTAGTAGTGTGACATATTTGCTTCCACTGTTTTTAAATAGAAAACCCTGCTATTTTATTATTCTGGTACAGATGATATATGTCCCGTATATCCTGATATAAAGATTCCAGACAAGGCAGAAACTCAAAGGTGACAGTTTAGGAAACCATGCAGATAGCATTAGGAGATCCATCATCCTTGATATCTTTCAAATGATTGATACATCCGTGTATAAAAATATGGTTTATATTAGATTATTAAATTTAATTTGACATGAATTTAGGAGGAGCAAAAAAAGGACTGAATTCAACTCAACAAAGTATTAAACCTTGAATAGGGGCTGGTGAGATGGCTCAGTGGTCTAAAGCACCTACTTAGAACAAGCT